CTCTTGAAGCGTAAAGAATTTGTAGGAAGCCTCAAGAACAAGATTGAAGTCCAAAGCTTAGATTTCTCCAAAATCCTCCCTTTGAATCTTCGGTGAAAATCTTTGTTTTTGGTACCCACGCGTAGCTCTCGTCGCGTAGATCGACTTTAATTCTTGGCCCGACGAATTTCGACCGACGGAACTCCGAGAATCGGCGAAAGAAAGCTTGAAGAATTATATATTTTTTTTCTCCTTTGCTCTTTGGTTTGATCCAACCGGCCAGATATTTGCTCACTTTTATACCTTCTAAACACTTGGCCCTTGTCGCGCCAAGTGTCGTCCTTTGTCCGGGTCCGTTTTCATCCCGAAACGATTAAATTTCGTACCGATTTAAACTCAAAATATTTTATATGAATTTTATTTAAAATATTTTTCAAATTTTTATAAAAATTTCGTTTTTTGGGGTCATCGAACACCCGTCACCTCGAAAAACGTGAAAAATCTGACTATCTCAGAATTCGACGAAATTTGTTTGGGTAACTAGATTTCGTGAGACGAATCCAACAGTGAGGTCCGTTTCATCATCCGAGGTCTATAAAAATATAAGTTTTTTTTTTAACCCAAACTATAATGGCAAATTACCATTTTGCCCTTTTTTTCAGAAAAAGTTAAAATTTTTCCCGGGTTTTACAGAAAGATTATGATTTTTCATGCAAATATCATAACCTTTATCTAAGAGTTGTCCCAAGCTTAAAATATTATTTTTCATATTTGGTACATAAAAAATATTAGAAATAACTTAGTCTCTTCTATCCTTCAAACGAATCAAAATATTACCTCTTCTCATTAGCGGAATTTGAAAAGAATCTCCAAAAATAATTTTTTCACTCACCAATTCATCAAGCTCTGCAAACATCTCTTTATTTTCACACATATGATTACTAGCACTAGAGTCAATGTACCACACGTTCTTGTCTCCCTTTTGTTCTTCTTTGTATGCCAACAACAAGGTCAGCTAAAATGTGCTCTTTCTTCCATAAAATCATTTCTACACTCGGAAGCAAAATGGTCATATCGGTGACAATTATAGTATTGAAGATGAGATTTGTTATACCTCCCTCCATATGACTTAGAATTGTTGCCTCTTTCATGTCCTCTTCCACAGTGTGATTCTTAGACTCTTTCTTCTTTGTTGGACGAATTGTTGCCAAAGTTTTCTCCTCTACCTCGATCACGTCCACCACAACCTCCGCGTCCACGTCCCCATCATCTACATCTTTGACTTTCATCTTACCTTCTTTCTTTGAAAGAAAGTTTGGTTTGTAGCACTTGCTCCAGCAACTCTTGCTTCTTCTTACCTAGCCATTCTTCAAATTACCTAGCCATTATTCACAAGTACCAACATTCTTGTGAAATAATCTGAAACTAATTCGGATTCTTTCATATGTAAAGATTTAAATTCACCTCGTAGAATTTGGAGGCGAACTTTCTTCACCTTTTTTCAGTCCATGATTAGCAGTTTCAAGAACGTCTCATGTTTGCTTGGGTGTGGTTACACTATCAACCTTTTGTAATATGACATCATTCAAGCATTGATAGATGAGTGAAAGAACTTTTTGATCCTTCTTTTGTATAGCTTGCAAGAGTTCTTTTTGGGCTTGATTTAAGGAAGTTTCATCTTCCAGTGCTGTGTAACCAACTATTACAATTTCCTATAAATCTTGAAATCCAAGAATTATCTTCATGCAAATACACTAATTCTGATAATTATATTTAGTAAATCAAGGCATTTGAAATAAAAGTATTACATTCGACATCTCTCTCTCACTCTCTCTTTTTCAATACTCAAGTCTAGTTTTGATACTACTTTAAAAATTTTATTTATATTTTAACACAAACTTCACTGGTTTATACAACTATCTTTTGTATCATGGACTTAACTACCTTATTAATAATAAAACAAATCATATATCGTACCTCTAAATTTTATTATTTTAATTGGTATTTTTATAACTATTGTGCGTCACTTTACAACCAAAAAATTTACTATTTTTGTGGATGATTTACCATTTTTGTGAGTGTTTTTATAACTATTGTGGTAATTATTTTTACTACTTTTTTTCCACACAAGAATTTATCATTTTTTGTGGGTGATTTACTACATTTATGTGTTTTTACGACTATTGTGATACTTATTTTTACTACTTTTTTTGACATCACAATAATAATAAAAATATATATAACAATAGTATGATACTATTTTTTTTTTGTTGATACCGTAGAGTTGTAGACAACTCCGTGCATCATTGTTAATCTAGCTAAGCACATCTAATCTCGGTTTTACATAATTAAGAGTATGCACTTAGTCTTTATTTTTTCGGCAGGTATTTGTTCTTATATCATGTGGTAGCCCATCATTGGCGGGTGCAAACTTTTATTATTCTGATACTTGCAGTGAGTTCTAATTCTAAAAGTTTTCAAAGTGACCAGCCACGAGCTCTTCATCTCGGAATCATAACCTAACCCAATATCTAACAATAGCTATATTGTTCTTTATGCAATTCTAAAGAATTCAAACAAGAAGATGAGAGTTTGACATTTAGCAATTTGTAAGGTCGATGATAATTTGCTAATTTATTTGTATCTGGGCCATCCTTCCATGAATTCACCCACATTCACTCATTATCAAATAATAAAAGCATAATATTTCAAATTGTATGTGTTTCGGTTGTCACTTGTGACCCTCAAAAAACAGATCACGCAGTCAATCTAAATGTGATTCTTTCTCTCAAACCCCACCTCTTTGTTTGCTATTCTGTCAAGAATTTGTTTCTTTAATAGTTAGAGGTGTTCGGGTTAACTTACGTACACCTCGACTAATTTTCTTTCCGATTCGATCAAAAACAAGTAATCCATGTCAAACAATATTTGACAACCGAATAGCACATAGCAATCCCCATTTTTCGAATGGGAAGCATTAAGGATATGAACGAACAAACAAAAAAGATCATACATGGAAAGATCCAGAGACCGACCAATTCACCCTTTCGTCAGCAACTTGTTCATATGAAGAAATGGAATAACAAAAGTTCAAGATAGGGAATCCATAATGGTGCCTTATTGATCCATTAACCTTCCTTCAAACAAAAACACTCGACTCCAAACAAAATATAAGATGCCGCCTGAAATTCCCACAGCAGCGATCATTCCATATGACATTAAATTAAAGTGGCCCTGGGAAACTCCCATTCTCCCTCTGTTCATTCCACCTCTCGATCTGCAGGGAATATGGAGGCAAAAAGAATAAACATAAAGATGTGCATAAATAACTCTTTTTGTAGGTGCATAATATCAATACAAACACTAGGAAAAAATGGTTTAGTGCAAGAGACTTGGTACAAAAAAGAGGCAAAATGAAAACAACCAACCAGCACCAAAAGGAATGTAGACATACAAAAACCAACATAGGCTATAGATATCTCTATTGCAACTATGGCTACTATTAAGCTATGGACAGAAAATAGCATTTCTGATTAATGTGCAAAAACTGAAGGGTTTCCTACATCAGTGCTACGGAACCACCCATATTTCGCAACCACATATTTTTTGTCTTCCAATGACATAATACAATAAAGTTTTGCTATTTCTCCCAATAGGAAAGGCCAGAGGTAATGGAAGCATTATAAGATGCCAGAGAGTACTATTTTTGTTCTTGTTCTTGCTAAACCAACTGGTTTTTGGTTTGCTCCTAATGTTGAGGCTTTTGCTCTCTGGGAAGGCGTGAAGGAGGTTGTCTCCATGGGTCTCACAAATTGTCTAATTGAGGACATGCAGAGGTGTTTGTTGGCTGGATTCTGTGTTGAGCAGGCTGATTTGTTGAGTAAGAAGGGAGTCTGCATGATTAGGCCTGAAAAAGGATCACTTTGCTTCCATGGTATACTTTTACCAAAAAAAAAAAAAAGGATCTTATCTTCTCCCTCGCGGCTGAGTTTCGGGGATTAAATTTGGGGATCCTACTCGCTGGTTTAGTTGTTTTTATCTCTTCTCCCTTTCCTGTTTTAAGGACCTCCATCCTTCTTACTTTTTTTATATTTTTCATTCTCTTTAACAATCTTCTTGTTTGTTAAAAAAATTGACAAATAAAGAATCAGCCGACTCGTATGTGGTAAGATCATAATTATAAAGAGTTAGAATCAGAGTAGTTACTTACCCATTCACCTGGGCAGAGGGAACGATAGTATTTGGCAAATCTCACGCATTCATCAGACTCTTCACCTTTTGCTGCCAAGCACCTGCAGTTCACAATTAAAGGTTGAGGAAAAGGGATGGTAAATTAGTCCAATCTCCGACCATAAGCCATATAGGACTCTCCGAAGATCATCTCAAGTAGGGCAGCCAATGAGCTGAGTTTTTCAACCACAACTTCGGTTGACCTAGCTAACAAGAGCATTCTTGCGTTCATATTAAAAAAAAAAAAGAAAGAAAGCGAGAGTTGAATTATATGGCTCTGTCAATAAATGAGTCCATGGGGTGGGCCTTGGTGTAGCGAAAATGTTGTTGTATTGTGACCTGGGCATCAAGGGTTCGAGTCTCAAAAACAGATTTTCTGCATCCGGTGGCAAGGCCATAAAGAGGAAGTTATTCAAATGCAAGAAAAAAAGAGTAGAATTGAAAGTCAAGTAAGAAGGAAAGAGGCTAGTCCCTGAAAATGCTCTACGTGTAGATTCATTTGTCGTTGGGGCTTACAATTCACCTTCTAACCCATTCCTTCGGTCGAGCCTTCTTCGGGCATCGATCAATTTATCACTCAATCACGGACTGGGCAATCCATTAAGGGGCAATTAAGCAGCACAATGAAGTGAATGTTGTGGTCCCTATGCTTATGGCATTGAAACGCGTCCCCGACAACAACAGCAAGCACCACAGTACAAGAATGACAATCAAAGGCAGTAAGAGAAACTTTGATCCCTATAGGCTAGGAGAAACTTATACTATCTTATCATAGTGGTGTATGAAAGGATTAACTTCAATCTATCTATCTGGTGAAGAGATAATGGAGGATACTCTCAATAGGGCAAGCACCCAATACCTCGTCGGCACCAAAGCTCCATCTCGAGCAATTCAATCCAAAAAAGAGATGTCTGCCCAGCCTTCGTTCTCGCTCAAGCTAAAACTCAATCTGCTAGCTCAAGTTGCAAGTTAAGTAGTGGAGATCCCATAACAGACAGAAAGGAGAGTTAAACTGGAATACAAGAATAAATCTCAAAAAAGTCTCCTCTCGCAATCAGGATTGCGACTTTGTAGGTTTTCAATAAAAGAAATACGTCAAAATATTATTTGGTTTTCCCGAGCTATGCCCCTATGAATTCTACTCGTATCATAGCATGAGACCCTCTCGGAAGTAGTTGAAGATCTAAATCTTAAATCCCGGGCTAATTGATTCTTCAACTCTATCTGTCAATGGTGATATTGACACCAAACTCCCAACAATTGAGGCTAATTCATCAGAATCTGAAGCAAGCCAAAACTCGCACTCTCATGACTTGGCTATAGTCCCTTGCCTTGACCCCTTAGTAGTAGAACCTCCCTTGGTGACATCAAGAATAATTTGATCTATATTTCCATCTTATTCTAGCCCTAAAAACTATATTGCTCCTATTATGGCTGCTTTCGCCACTAGACCTAGAGGATATGAGTCCAACCCATATAGGTCTCAACTTGGCATGAATAAGCTTGTATGAGTAGCATGTCCATGTGGTGCTTACTTGTGGGGTGGGGTGGGACATCAATGGACCTAGTTAAACCTTTTGTCTTTTCTAATTTGGCAGGGGAGTGATAAGTGGTCCTGGTTTTTACCATCTTATGCAAAAGTCTACTCATTCCACTCCTTAGTTTTCACTTGTTGCTACTTCTGGGAATCTTACTTTCCACATTTAAAATCAAGCACCATCACGTAGATGAAATCTAGGGACTCACTTCGATCAAATATGCATGTAGGATCCAATTAAAAACATTTGCTCTAGATGTTTCAATGTCCTTCATCTGTTGACATAATTATCCATCAACTTAAAATTGTATCAAATACCTTAACCCTTTGTTTATCAACTTAATATGTAAAAAAGAACAAGAATGCTTAATGATAATAAAAAACATGTTTAATTTTTCTCTTCATTTTGTTTCAAACTTCTTTATCAATAAACCTCCAAATAAACTGTCATAGACTTTTCCTTGACTTAATAGATGAAAGATTTTGTTAGCCTACCAAATCATGCACACGTTAACAATTGGCAACCAAAAGTAAAAATTCCATGAAATTATCTTGTTTCAAGAAAATGAGGGCAAAAATATAATTAAAGTACCCTAACACCCCACCCCACCCCAAAAAAAAAAAAATATTCTTCCATTTCCAACCAAATTTTTGCATTACTTTTTCTCTTTTCAACCCATTTTTCTGATCTTTTGTGATGGAATCTAATCACCAGATATTTCTTTTCCGATGTCCAATCATGGTGACCCCCTAAAATTTCTGGAGCAACATTCGGGGCCAGAGTTTCAAAGAAAAATGGAATAAATTTCTCGTTGGAAATTATGAATGTTATCACAAATGAGAAAGGGACAAGCAACTACAGAGGTGATATCTCAAGATCATAGAACACAAAACATCAAGAGTCAAATTTTGCCCAAAAATGAGAGGAACGTAGAGAAAATTGGGGGAGTTTGATTGCAATTTCAGTTGAGTTGGAAAAAGAGCTACAAAACTGTTAGAAACGGCTCCACTAAATTACACAAATGCCCTCAGCTTTTTTAAAAAAAAATTAAAGGCCAATATATTTGGCATTTTTTTTATTATTTTGGCTTTTATAAATTGTTATCCTACCTTGGGTAAGATAACAAAATCCATAGGTTAAAACTTAAAATTTTATCACCTATTCAACCTTCTTGTATAAGTTATGCATTCTATAAATAGAATTTCATCTGATAGACTAGATGGCCGCAGATGAATTCTACGTATACTAAATAACTTCTTTTTTCTTCTCAAAAGTAAAATAATAATCCAATTAAACCAAGTCCCGGCCCCAAGGTCACTAAAATCTAGGCAGCCAAGTCTGAGAACATATGCTCAACCCAAGGGGAAGCCCAAACTGAGCTCGGCATACTCAATAACCAAAATAAGCTGAGCCTGGACAATCCGCTATTTGGTTCATTTCAATTCAATTCCTGCCATATTATCATGTCCAAGAGGAAAAGGAAGGGAAAAATAGCTCCACATGAAGCTGTAAGAATTTCTACAGCCCTTGAGGTATTATATATAAAGTTGACATTCAGCAGTGAATGGCCCAAAATTGCCATACCAAATTAAGCTTACAGGATTTCACCTGTGGAACTCGATGTAGCGTGTGAAACAGTGTCTCGTTTGATTTGTTGTTGGGAATCGAAAATCAGCTGGAGCAGTCTTCAATTCAATCTAATTAGAAAAGTATGAAAATCAGTAAAACAAGAACATTGAGGCTTAACAAAATTTCACACATCAAATTACAATTGCCAGAAACTGTCACGAAACAGGTTAGATACTGTAGGAATCTTGGGAAACAGAAGTGCCATTTGAGAGCCTTTTTGATTTCTTTCTTCCTTCCCTTTTCTTTTCTTTTTGCTAATACTAAAAGATTGTTGAAAGGCGAGATATATAACTACAATGTATCTATATTGAGGAAAAAAGATCTCAGGACTCTCATCCTCAGAAATGTTAGATTGATAGATAAGTCGTACAGTGGAACTAGAGAAGCAAGCAAACAAATGTTCTTTAATTGGTCCACTGATTTGGGCAAACATTATTGCTAACACTTTTGAAATACCACTTTTTTTTTTTTAGGTATCGGGTGTGTAGGATTGCACCAACTACTCCCACGATCTCAACCTTTGCCACCGTGGCTTGAGCTCAAATACCACTTCCATTCATACCAGAATTACATTATTTTATCTCATTACATCTCTCAATCACATATAATCGAAAACATAATGAAGTTAAAACAAACCATCCTTAAAGACTCAAAATAGAGAATCTTTTCAGGCAAAAAGTGGATTCGAGGAAAATCTAGTATCAAACTAATGCATAGAGTTTTCTATAAGAGATGATACAGAAGTCCTTATTCGATTCTGAAATTAAAAAGCAAAAGAAGAATCAAAAACAAAAACTCCAACAGCTTCCTTGCAAATAGATTATTCTGATATAAATAACATAGAAAAATGATATAGAATGACAAAGAAAAGCTAAATTATGGATTTTCGGTTTACCTCAGCCATTGTTCACGATGAGATCTAACGAGACGATGAGAGCTTCGCTATCAGCGAGAGAATAGCAACAGTGGAGGATGCTTATAAGAAAAATTGCCCTCTGACCTCTGTCCAATTGAGCAATTGCTAACCAAATGAAGCCACGTGACTTCGTATGACGTGTGTGAGAGATATAAAAGTAAGGGCAAATAATACTTTGACCGATCCCTCAAAATTCGACGTAACACAATTAATCGATATAAATTTGGGTGAATTTTTAACGAGTTTAGATAATAAATGAATTGATTTGTCAAACACGTTTAATAAATGGATCGTGTTTAAGTGAGATTTGTCAAATCGTTTATTACACGTTTATTCGTTTAAATAAAATTAATATAATAATAAATTAATAATTATTTTAAAAAATTAACTAAAAAAAGAAGTAAATAAATCAATATAAAAAAAAAAAAAAAAGTAAAGTAGTAGTTTAACAAAGGAGGGGAGATGTGGAGCAGTTCATAATAAAGACAAATCAAATCCCTTTTGTTTTTGTCCCCCATCGACAAATGAGGGGAGATGAGAGGACTGTCTTGCCTATAAATACCTTTTTTTTAAGTCTTTTTTTTTTATCCGAAAACACAAAGATATTCATTTCATTAAGTAAGAAAATTTTGGTTACAATCATTCAAAATAAAAGCTATAAGCTCTTGCGGAGGTAAGCCAACTCAGTCCAATGGAAGCGAACTATTCATTGCAACAGCTGCCACCCAGTGAACCGCCTTGTTATGTGCTCTTGGCTTGTATAGAAAACAAATGTTGTGTAAGTTAGCAAAATAACTAATGTCTTCTATTAAAGTGCTAATTTCCTATGGGGGAACATCTTCAGCTGCGCTCAGCTTAATGACATTGAGACAGTCATTTAAAACTGTGGCATTTTCCAGATTCCTAGTATTAACCAGGAGGCATGCTTTGTCTTACTGCCTCTACCTCTGAAGCAATGCTTGAAGACACTTGGAAACTCTTTGCAACTCCATCCACCCGGTCATCCTCTGAATGACATAGTAGAACTCCACATGATGCCTTATTAATCTTTGGTTTGTAAGCCCCATCGCAACAGAGGAAAGAAATAGGAAATGACAGCTGCCTTGTCTCCTCCTCTTCCACAGGTTCTTGGTGCATTCTTTGGCCTCCTCTTTCTCTTGCAATTGAAAGTTTGCTCCATAAACCTTTTGCTCATATGATAGTTGCTAATGCATTTGGGATTTCATCATTAAAAATTTTCTAATTTCTTGCCTTCCATATAGCCTAGCTTACTGTAGCCATCTTCCCCAATAATTCATATCTATCTTGAGCATTCTTTGCCATATCCAGGATCTGTGAGGTTCTTTGGGCAATGGATAAAAAGCCTTCCTTCTCTTGTATGAACTTCATTTCCAAGCCAAACCATACTCTCTTCGTCCATTCATATTCAAATAAGATGTGTTCTATGGATTCTATAACAACACAGCAAATTGGACACATAGGAGTTGAGGCATATCTCCTCTTATGCAGATTCTCCCACGATGCGAGAATATTGTGGCAAGCGTTCCACTAGAAATGTTTCACTTTAGGGACTGCTATCATATTCCATATCACTTGCCACATCTTAGGGTGAGGGGAAATGGAGGAGCTTGGTTCACTTTGGCCATGACCTAGAGTATTACCCAATCTGTAACCAGATTGCACTGAAAATTCACCTTTCTTATTGGGTCACCAGATTCTTTTATCCTTTCCTCTTGTGACTGGAATTGGGATAGTCTTGATGGCTTTTAATTCTTCATTTGGAATAGCTTCTTGAAAGAGGTCAACGTTCCACTATGTTGAATTCGCCTTCATAGTGTCAACAACCTTGGTAATAGGACAGTCCTGCATCTTAGTCTTCAAATCTGATTTTTGTGTGAGATTTGATTAAAAATTTCTCTTTTTTGAGGTAAATACATTTGGCAGTAAAAAAAGTAGAGTATTAATATTTGTTGATATAATTTTTTTAAAATTAAACAGGTTAAACGAGTCGTATTATGTTACCTGTTTATTAAACGGGTCGTATTCGTATTGATATTTTTTACTCGTTTATTAAACGTGTCATATACGGGTTTACTTATTTTTCAACCGTCACCCGTTTAGTCTGACACGTAATTGTTTAACCCGACACGTTTGACACCCCTAACTTTGACGCAGTGTTTTAAAACCCAGCCCGACCTGGCTGGTTGACCTTGAAACCCAGTGACCTGGATTCTAGACCGAACCGGTTTAGTAATTAGATCGTTCAAGCATTAAACCCTCCCTAAGACTTAGTGAAATGGGCGGGTTTTATATGAACCGATCAAACCGAATGGGTATGTACAACTGTCTGGGTCATAGAAAGCCCTATAAATTAGAAAATTTTGGGCATTTTCTGCCCTAATCCCCTATTTGACCTTGACGATCGAGATCAGATTTGATCACTCACTCAGCCTCTCATGTCATCTCTCAATCTGGTCTTCGCAACTCGCCTCTCTCTATTTGGTCTCTACAACTCGTCTCATTCGTATCTCTTTCTCTGCGACTATTCGACTTTGATGTTCTTCAACTAATCTCTCGATCGTCCCATGCACCAAGCACGCATCTCGATCATCTCTATCTCTGATTGTTGGCTTGAATCAAAGTAGGGGTGAGGGCTCTGCTTCTGATCACTTGAAACTTTTGACTTTGAGAGGTATCTTGGTTTTCAACTTTCAATGGTAGAACCCTATTTAATATTTTGTGCCCAAAAAAAAAAAAATAGTAGTTGTGTTGGTGAATTTTCTTATTGATTAATGTTATTCTTTAGACTGATTAGTGATATTCTTTGAAGTTCTTATTGATTGTTGGAATTTGATCTAAACTCAAACTTAGAGTGTTTATTTTATGTAATCTTGAGTCTTGTTAGTTTGAATAAGTTTGAACTATTTTTTCGGACTTTTAGGAGTTTATTTTCAAGTTGTTTTAGTGGGTAGCAGTTGTGTCTTAAGAATAGGACCTACTTAGCTATTCTTTAGGAGTAAGTTGAGTCTGTTATTAGTCTTTGTGTTTTCCTATAAACTAGTGTCGTACTTGCACTGTGTAATCCATCTCTCTTTTCTCAGTTCGTACATAAGCATATGCAACGCAGCTGAACACACAAAGAGCTCTAACATCTGGTTTGCAACTGCTCCAAGCCTCCTCAAGTGTCATATCCAGAACACTTTTTGTAGGACACCTGTTCAAAATATAAACAGCATAAGGCACAGCTTCTGCCCAAAACACTTTGGGCAAATTTTTTCCTTTTAACATGTTACGTGCCATTTCAACAATTGTTTGGTTCTTCCTCTCAGCCAACCCATTCTGTTGTGGTGAATAGCTAGCCGTGAGTTGATGATTAATTCCATGATTTTTACAAAACACAAAAAACTCATTAGAGGTTTACTTTCCTCCTTTATCTGTAACGTCCCAAAATTCACCTTAGACGGTATTACTATTTAAAACCATTCACATCATGAGAGCAACTAATATAATTCATAAGTAAAGAAGATTTCATTCATCATTCATAATATTTATAACATCATCCAAAAGAATATGTCAAACCATGATAATTACATCCCCAAAAATTAACTATTAACTTGCAGTAGAATAACAAAAATATTAGACTTCACATTGTCTTAAAATGAATCACTTAGTCTAGAACATAAAAAGAACAATTCTAAACATCCCCCTCTGGATCCACATGCCCATCAACTTGAGCTTTCCAAATCACCTTCTCATCAACTCGGGGCTCTTCCTCTAAATCGAAATCTAAAAGTAAGAATTGTTTGAAGGGGGTGAGCACTAAACTCTGTAGGAAAATCCTCCCAAACTTGGATAAGGTTTTGAAAACATATAGAACAAGTCGGTCTCATTTCATAAATATCATATATAACCTTTGAAAAAAAACAGTGACATTCGATCTCAAGTTTATGTAATCCCGATATATAAAATGAAGAAGTAAAACCAATTCCAACAGTAAACCATTTCCACAACATTACCAATAACCCACAATTTGTACCATTACCCACAATGTATATCAAACCACAACTTATATCTTTCACAACATTATGTATATGTATCTATACTTGTATATGAGGTATGATGTATGACATCGCATGAATAAACACATCAAGAATATCTTGTCCCACACACACACACACACACACCCAATCCTTGCAAGGATATCAAATCTTTAGGAAATACGTATACCAATGCATTGTCAGGGATAATCCAACCCATGAGTAGTATACTAACCGTCAGCCTCGATAACACGTGAGCGAATAGTGGTTTGGTTCTCACAAGGCACCAACCCCACTACGAGTCATAGGGAACCTTTAAACCCACATGGAGTAAGAAATGCATCTAACCCACTTTACGATATCTGGTCAACGACCACCCATGGTCATCTAAACATCCACAAGAGATACAACACAACCCAATACCTCAAATCACTAGCAAAATTCAAAATCTCCAAATTTCACATGTATGATTCCAATAGAAATCAACAATACCATTTTATTTGTTAAATACCAACCACTAGAGTTTTGAAATCAATAACAAAGGAACATTGAGAGAAAAATCCATTTTTCTTGAAACCAGGGTTTTCAAAACAAGAAGAAAAGATTTCATCAAAACATAGTAATATTTGCAAGAACATCACAAAATAATGATTTCATAGCATATATATAGGATTGAGTGTGAAAACATACATATATATATATATATGCCATATCCTCAATGGACAAGAGTGGAAGAAAACTCCTACCTTGCTTCCTTAGTTTTGAGTGAAGAAGATGAAGATTTGATCTTCCCAACTTGAATCAACCCTTGAATCTCTTGTTTTTTCCCTTCTTTCTTCCTCTCTAAGCCTCTATAGGGTTAAGAATGTTGAAATGGGGCTAAAAAAGGTGTCTTTAAGTATTTATAGAATGAGAAATGACCTCCTGTGCGCGATTCTGAAACTCAGAATC